ACACGGGGACACGGGGACGGGGAGACACGGGGACACGGGGACAGGGAGGGAGACACGGGGACAGGGAGGGAGACACGGGGACAGGGAGGGAGACACGGGGACAGGGAGACACGGGGACAGGGAGACACGGGGACAGGGAGACACGGGGACAGGGAGACACGGGGACAGGGAGACACGGGGACAGGGAGACACGGGGACAGGGAGACACGGGGACAGGGAGACACGGGGACAGGGAGACACGGGGACAGGGAGACACGGGGACAGGGAGACAGACACGGGGACAGGGAGACAGACACGGGGACAGGGAGACAGACACGGGGACAGGGAGACAGACACGGGGACAGGGAGACAGACACGGGGACAGGGAGACAGACACGGGGACAGGGAGACAGACACGGGGACAGGGAGACAGACACGGGGACAGGGAGACAGACACGGGGACAGGGAGACAGACACGGGGACAGGGAGACAGACACGGGGACAGGGAGACAGACACGGGGACAGGGAGACAGACACGGGGACAGGGAGACAGACACGGGGACAGGGAGACAGACACGGGGACAGGGAGACAGACACGGGGACAGGGAGACAGGACACGGGGACAGGGAGACAGACACGGGGACAGGGAGACAGGACACGGGGACAGGGAGACAGACACGGGGACAGGGAGACAGACACGGGGACAGGGAGACAGACACGGGGACAGGGAGACAGACACGGGGACAGGGAGACAGACACGGGGACAGGGAGACAGACACGGGGACAGGGAGACAGACACGGGGACAGGGAGACAGACACGGGGACAGGGAGACAGACACGGGGACAGGGAGACAGACACGGGGACAGGGAGACAGACACGGGGACAGGGAGACAGACACGGGGACAGGGAGACAGACACGGGGACAGGGAGACAGACACGGGGACAGGGAGACAGACACGGGGACAGGGAGACAGACACGGGGACAGGGGAGACAGACACGGGGACAGGGAGACAGACACGGGGACAGGGAGACAGACACGGGGACAGGGAGACAGACACGGGGACAGGGGACGACAAGGGACAGGGAGACAGGAACACGGGGACAGGGAGACAGACACGGGGACAGGGAGGACAGACACGGGGACAGGGAGACAGACACGGGGACAGGGAGACAGACACGGGGGACAGGGAGACAGGACACGGGGACAGGGAGACAGACACGGGGACCGGGAGACAGACACGGGGACAGGGAGACAGACACGGGGACAGGGAGGACAGACACGGGGACAGGGAGACAGACACGGGGACAGGGAGACAGACACGGGGACAGGGAGACAGACACGGGGACAGGGAGACAGACACGGGGACAGGGAGACAGACACGGGGACAGGGAGACAGACACGGGGACAGGGAGACAGACACGGGGACAGGGAGGACAGACACGGGGACAGAGGAGACAGACACGGGGACAGGGAGACAGACACGGGACAGGGAGACAGACACGGGGACAGGGAGACAGACACGGGGACAGGGAGACAGACACGGGGACAGGGAGACAGACACGGGGACAGGGAGACAGACACGGGGACAGGGAGACAGACACGGGGACAGGGAGACAGACACGGGGACAGGGAGACAGACACGGGGAGGACAGACACGGGGACAGGGAGACAGACACGGGGACAGGGAGACAGACACGGGGACAGGGAGACAGACACGGGGACAGGGAGACAGACACGGGGACAGGGAGACAGACACGGGACAGGGAGACAGACACGGGGACAGGGAGACAGACACGGGGACAGGGAGACAGACACGGGGACAGGGAGACAGACACGGGGACAGGGAGACAGACACGGGGACAGGGAGCAGACACGGGACAGGGAGACAGACACGGGGACAGGGAGACAGACACGGGGACAGGGAGACAGACACGGGGACAGGGAGACAGACACGGGGACAGGGAGACAGACACGGGGACAGGGAGACAGACACGGGGACAGGGAGACAGACACGGGGACAGGGAGACAGACACGGGGACAGGGAGACAGACACGGGGACAGGGAGACAGACACGGGGACAGGGAGACAGACACGGGGACAGGGAGACAGACACGGGGACAGGGAGACAGACACGGGGACAGGGAGACAGACACGGGGACAGGGAGACAGACACGGGGACAGGGAGACAGACACGGGGACAGGGAGACAGACACGGGGACAGGGAGACAGACACGGGGACAGGGAGACAGACACGGGGACAGGGAGACAGACACGGGGACAGGGAGACAGACACGGGGACAGGGAGACACGGGGACAGAGAGACACGGGGAGATGTACGCGGATATGGCTGCTGTGTACGCGTGACCCGTGCCACCCACCCCGCCCCCCACCAACCACCCCGCCCCCCACCAACCACCCCGCCCCCCACCAACCACCCCCCCCCCCCCCCCCCCCCCGTGTCTGGGACGCGGAAGTGAGAGTGAGTGGGGGGCCCCATACCTGCGGGGTCGGGGGAGTCGCGTTCATGGAGCCGCCGGGGCCGCCTCTCGCTGCGCGGGGGTCACGGGGGGCTCCCTCGGCCTCCCGGGGGCGGGGGGGGCAGAAGCAGTAGAGGAGGGCGGCAGGGGAAGGGGCCTGTGCAGGCCGGGAAGACAAAGGCGTCTCCGCTCAGTCAGCTGAGCGATCAGCTGAGCTGACGGCGCGAGAGCGTTGCGGTTGGCGGTGACGTCATGCGGGGCGGGTGGGCAGAAGGGCGGGGGCGGTTGGCGGTGACGTCATGGGGGCGGGGCGACCCCACGTGGCGCGAGGTCGTCACGAGGCCCCGTGGTGGTGGCCGTGGCCGCCCCTGGCACCACCACCACCACCAACACATCCATGGCGCGGCAGGCGCCACCTCGCGACAGAGCCGCCTCGTGGGTGAAGGCGGCCTCTCGGCCTGCGGTCGACTTCCTCCATCCGTCACCGCCCGTGACCATGGGCGACCGTCCCCCCTGTGGCCCTGAACCCGTGCCCCTCTCATCCCCACCACGTGCCCCTCTCGTCCCCACCACGTGCCCCTCTCGTCCCCACCACGTGCCCCTCTCGTCCCCACCACGTGCCCCTCTCATCCCCACCACGTGCCCCTCTCGTCCCCACCACGTGCCCCTCTCATCCCCACCACGTGCCCCTCTCATCCCCACCACGTGCCCCTCTCGTCCCCACCACGTGCCCCTCTCCTCCCCACCACGTGCCCCTCTCGTCCCCACCACGTGCCCGTCTCGTCCCCACCACGTGCCCCTCTCATCCCCACCACGTGCCCGTCTCATCCCCACCACGTGCCCCTCTCATCCCCACCACGTGCCCGTCTCATCCCCACCACGTGCCCGTCTCGTCCCCACCACGTGCCCCTCTCATCCCCACCACGTGCCCGTCTCATCCCCACCACGTGCCCCTCTCATCCCCACCACGTGCCCCTCTCATCCCCACCACGTGCCCCTCTCATCCCCACCACGTGCCCGTCTCATCCCCACCACGTGCCCCTCTCATCCCCACCACGTGCCCCTCTCATCCCCACCACGTGCCCCTCTCATCCCCACCACGTGCCCCTCTCATCCCCATGATGTGCCCCTCTCATCCCCATGATGTGCCCCTCTCATCCCCACCACGTGCCCCTCTCATCCCCACCACGTGCCCCTCTCATCCCCACCACGTGCCCCTCTCATCCCCACCACGTGCCCCTCTCGTCCCCACCACGTGCCCGTCTCGTCCCCATGATGTGCCCCTCCCGCCTTGCGTCGCTCTCGACGGGCAATCCCGGCCTGGGTCTGTCCACGCTTCTTTGCACACTTTGCGGGTTTTATATGCACCACATGTCCCGTGAAGGACCACGCGTGTTCTGAGCGACGCGTCACAGCAGGCAGGACGCGCTGATTAAACTCGTCATTGCTCCATTAATTATCATAACTAATAATGTTCGCTGCTGGATGAAGGCCTTTCCACGCCGTGCCGGTCATGTTTTTTTTACCATACTTCACCACACTGGTCAATCGGGATCGGTGAAGTGGGGGGGGGGGGGGGGGGGCATGAGCAGGTTCTGATCTCGATCTGTGCTGGCCGTGGCCGGGAGTCGGGTCAGAGCGCAGTGCACTAACCACTGTACCACCGCTCCACGCATTTCCAAGTTAAAATTACATCCATACAATATGTTGTAGTAAAGATAAATACAGAGTATATAACATGTATAACCGACGTTCACATTGGTCGTCATCAGTCGGCATGGCGAGCGGGGACTGATATCTGCGTATTGGCCGGATGGAGATTACAAAAGCACTTTCGGTCGCCCAATCTGCGGCCCCCTTGACCTTCCTGCGCACCGGATGGTTTACTTGAGCCCAATACTTGAGCTGCATCATCATGCCAAGGCCATGTTCTATCCACTGTAATCTCTCTCACGGTCCTTGGATATAAATAAGTAATATTTTAAAATACTTTTTTAAAACACGCTTTAATGAAATGTACCGTACTCGTAATGGCAAAACTCCACGACTCCAGGAAGTGGCCCCGAGGCTTGCCACAGCGTAAGGGGCCGTGGTGATTTACGGCCAACGTCAGTTGAGCGTGGACAATTAGAACCAAGCCGAAACATAACATATAAAAAAGATGGTTTAATATTTTTTTCTATTTTAATGATAAAATATAGTATTGTCATCTGTATGACATAAGTATACCAAGTTTGCAGTCGATACCACATTGGGAAGTGGGTTAAAATTGAGCTACAAGATTTGAGGATATGACAACAACAACAGATTTCGATTTAAAGCTTTCGTGACTGCAGGGATTCATCTTCTTTGTTCTTTCGCTAAAGTCACGTAGAAGGGAAATAATAAAATAAAAATAAAACATAATAAAATACAATTCTCACGACGTTTTGGCCACAACGCAAGCAGCCATCCTCAGGTGAAGAACAGGTCTGTCGGAAAGACATTCAGACGCTCCTTTGTCACTCCGTCGTTGGTTTTGGCCAGCAGCCATCGTCTCCCTGTCCGTCACGGTCAGCGCGACGTCTCCTCCTCGTGAGCTCTCTACTCCACGTGCCTCCTCTTCCTGTCTCTCGGTGTGAGGCCACGCGTGCACCACGCATCCATAACTTATTTGCGCACTTGTCAGTTCGAGTTGTAGTTTGAGCGTTCGCGTTGTCTTTGCTGTGCGTCATTGCAGGCAACGTACAATGATTAAAAACACGAGAATGTCTTCTGCTTGTCGCTGACCTTTATTGCCAACGTCGAGATAATATTGAACACAATATATCGTGGGTGGCGGGGGGATTTCCGCGTATCCATTTGGGCCGCATTAACGTACCAACAGTCACCTAACCCCCCCCCCCCCCCTTCAAAAGTAAGTATATTTACAACTTCATAACGATTGATAGTTTTTTTATTGGGGGGAGAGTGGCCAGGACGGAACGATCTGGCCAAAGCCGTGCATACCGCTAAGCAGAGGTGTGGACTCGAGTCATGTGACTTGGACTCGAGTCAGACTCGAGTCATGAATTTGATGACTTCAGACTCGACTTGGACTTGCATAACAATGACTTTGTCCCACCTCTGAGGTGTGGACTCGAGTCATGTGACTTGGACTCGAGTCAGACTCGAGTCATGAATTTGATGACTTCAGACTCGACTTGGACTTGCATAACAATGACTTTGTCCCACCTCTGCCGCTAAGAACCCTCCACCACCCGACACAGCCAAACACGAGACGACGTCAAGCGGTGTTCGGAGCGATGATGGGGAGACGCGCCAAGTGTGTCAGCAGGGTGCGTGGGGTGAGTGGGTGGGGTGAGTGTGTGGGGTGAGTGTGTGGGGTGAGTGCGTGGGGTGAGTACGTGGGGTGAGTGCGTGGGGTGAGAGGTCTCCTGCTGCTCACCACACGAGGCTCATCTTGTCGAGCTGCAGCAGCAGCAGCAGGGGCCTTCTCTCGATGCGGGCGCCAGTCTGCACCTCGTGCTCACTATGCGCGACGACTTCACTGCTGTCAGCACCGCGCCGGGTCACGCGCACGTGTGTGCCAGGTCAAGCGCACGTGTGCGCCGGGTCACGCGCACGTGTGTGCCGGGTCAAGCGCACGTGTGTGCCGGGTCAAGCGCACGTGTGCGCCGGGTCACGCGCACGTGTGCGCCGGGTCACGCGCACGTGTGCGCCGCGCATCCATTCGAGGGGCGAGTCGTCTCATCGGGGAGCGCCGCTCTCCCGTTCATGGTGTGCGCCGCCCCGCTCGTCACGCTCCCCTTGGCGCGTGCATAGCCACTGCTGTACGCGCTCCCGTTCACGTGGCCACTACACCCGCATTGTGTGCCGCCGCCGCCGCTGGTGCCGCCAGTCCCGGTGTCGCCGCTGCCGGTGTTGGCGGCGGTGCTCAAATCCGCGCCGAATCCCAAGCCGGCACCGTGGCGCGGCGGTGGCTCGGTGCCCAACACGGCCTGCAGGGCGTCCGCCCGCTCCATGCGGAGCAGGGACTCGAGGAGGCTGCCCACGGTGACCCCGGGGTCGCGGGCCGCCGTCACCTCGAGCGCGGCCCGGGTGAGGCTGACGCCGCGCGCCGCCAGCGCGGCGACCTCGTGGCGCTCGAGGCCGCAGCGCGAGGCGAGGTGGCGCGCGGAGGCGAGCGGGGGCAGCTCCGGGTCCAGCAGCTGGGAGAGGCGGTCGCACACGTCCAGCGCGTCCAGCAGGCGCTCCAGCGGGAGAGAGAACCACGGGGAGGCTGGCGAGGGGGGCGAGGAGGAGGGGACGTTAAGAGGAGGTGGCGATGATTAAGTGGTCAGAGGAAACGAGTGGAAAGGGGAGAGGACATGGTGGTGGTGGTGGGTGGTGGGGAGCCGTGGCGCAGCGGTTAGCGCGCTGCGCTACGACCCCGGCGACCCGAGTTCGATTCCCGCTCACGGCCAACACCGGTGACGATTATCTGAACTGGTCCTGGGCCTCCCCTAGGTCGACTCGGCCTCAAGTGAGTACCTGGTGCGGTGTGTAAAAACATCGCCACTGGGGATACAAAGGCGGTCGAGCGTGATACTGGCCACCCACCCCCCTCGTGCCGGCCTTCATATGTGCTCACTAACAGCACTTTCCCCAAAGGTATGTAAGGCTATACGGGGCATCTTTGTCTTTGGTGGACAGAAGAGGTGGTGGGGCGGAAGTGTCTGTCGATGAGAAGACACAAAGAAGGTGAGCGGAAGAGGTGGTGGCGCGATGGAGCACGGCGTCGCGAGATGGGGACGCCTTGGGGAGGCGTTCGTGCAGCAGTGGATAGATGACGGCTGACGAGTGCTCATCTCTCACCGTGTATTCGCTCTGTCAGCTCCTGTTCCCGGGTCCGCTGAGGAGGCGGCACTGGGGAGACAAACATGGACGTTTGCAGGTGCGTGTCCACGTGTACGTGTGTGTACATGTTTTTGCAGGTATGTGTACAAGTACACAAATGCGTGTACATGTGTGTGTTCCCAGGTATATCAAGCACGTGTGTGTGCGTCTATACACGTGCACTCTGTCCCTCAAGGAAGTTGCCACCCCCTGTTGTACCATCTGTTGAGCAAGTACGAAGAGCGCTTGGGTATTTTATTTAATCAAATATTCCACGACCTCAATTCCCCATGAGTGGTGGAGCAGTTGTTGAGAGAGGAGTTGTCGTACATGCGCAGTGTGCTCATGGCCATCTATCAGTTGGGCGGCATCGTTTCACCGCCTGCATAACGCTGTGTCGAAGCTGCTACCTGGCCTGCCGCTCCATATGGAGCTCCAGGTCCTCTTGGCCACAGTCATGCCCTCTCAGCTCTACGCTTGCAAAACGTGGAGCCCTCTAAACTCTAAAGGAACATCTGCGCCATTTGGAAACATTCAGGCTGGCTTTCTCTGAATCCATCATGGGTTCAACCGGACTGGATTGTGCGAAAAGCTTATAGATCTTTGAAAGGTGTGGACACAGTACCATCAGTGAACTCCTTTGACAGGCAATATTGGTTGGGTCATGCAGCCAACATGTCCAGCCAGCGCATGTCCAAGCAGCTTCTGTTTGGCCTGATAGAGGGGGCTAAACGGGCGCGGCACGGGCTGGAAAAGAGATGGGCCGATGTCCTAAAGGGGAATATGAATCTGAGTGGACTTGTCGATGACTAGTACCAACGGTATCAAGATTGGCCGCTGTGGAAGAAGTTCGTGAAGGACACTACTGAGTAGCGGGAGGCAGTTGACCTCTAACAATGGTGGAGGGTAGACAAGTGACGCTCGCAACAACTGGCGGAGCGCCGGTCGGATAAAACGTAGCGAGCTGGCACAGTGGAGAGTACAGATGGTGCATTTTCCAGTCATCTCAGTCAGTTAACCCACGGCACCTGGGTCTGTCCCGTGATCTCCTGCCAGCAGACGTTCGACACTTCACGCGGCCTCAAGGGGCACCTAGCGTGGCACCAGCACTATGGCGCTTGATGTTGTTGTGCTCTCTTGCCTGCGTTCCTCACCTTCTCGGAGCGGCGGGGTTTGGGTGTCCAGCATGGGGCTCTGGTCCCCTGCAGACGCTTCCCCCTGTTGGGGTTTCAGGTCCCCTCCCTGCAATTCCAGGGATCCCTGCCCCCGGGTGTCCTGGGCCCCACGGGCCCCGTTGGGCGGGCGGCCCCTCCAGCAGCGAGGGCCGCGCGTCACGAGCAGCACGAGCAGCATGAAGAGCATTGACGAGAGAGCCAGACTCGCGAAGAAGAGGAGCATCGCCTCGGAGCCACCTAGCACGGGGTCACAGTGCGGGGCAGGCATCGCGGTGAGGGATACGGGTCAGAGATAGGGGTCACAGTGCGGGGCAGGGGTTATGGTCAAGTATAGGGGTCAGATTGTGGGATAGAGGTCAGGGTTAGTGATACAGATGGGGGTTAGAGATAGGGTTGAGATTATGAGCCGGGCACAGGGTTAGGGGTGCGGTTGGGGTTGGGGTTGAGGTTGGGATCAGGGTTCGGAGCTAGGTCGAGGCCGACGTGAGCAGTGTATGACGGGTGGGACGGAGCAACACGTCGGCTGTGCTGAGTGTTCAGGGTCGAGTCGAGGGTCGCGTCAGCCTCAGAGTCAGAGTCGGCTTTGGGCTTGGGCGGAGGGCAAGGTCAGGGTCATCACCACCACCTCGTCATCTTCTCACAGGCGCAAACCTGCTGCTGCTGCTCCCTGAAGACCCGAGCTGGGTGGAGATGGAGGTGGAAGAGGAGGGGGGACTTCGATTCTCCGCGTGATGCGACCAAGCGTGAGGACCCTGGGGGTCACGGGGCGCCTGGCGGTGTCGGGCAACCCTCGGCACGTGGCCGCCTTGCTGTAGCGGCAGTGGATCGGGGAGCGCTCCCTCTTCACGCACTCGGGGTCTCGCCCCGCGCCCCCCTCGGCCCCCCGGATCAGGGAGCAATCGCAGCACCTACCGCGGCACGAGCCGTCGTGCACCTCCTGCCTGCATCGTCATCAACAATAACATCACGGACATCAACATCTTCGACGTTCATATCACCAACATTAGCATCATCAACTTAACGAAGCCAAGGTCACGGCAGGAAGTTCACTGAACGAGTGTAGACGTCACCCCCCACCCCCGTCACCCCCTCCCCCTCCCCGTGACGCACCCCTCGGGGCAGCACCGCGTGTTCCTGGCGGGGCTGCAGGGCTCGGCGACTCGCTCGGGGCCCCCGCAGCGCGAGCACGGCTCGCACAGCCCCAGCCCCCCCGTGAACTCCCCCGGGCCGCAACGCTTCGTAGGGGGACCCCCTTCGCCCTCGGGAGAGGCGTGTCCGCAGTGTTTCGTGTAGCCGAACCCTGCAGGGAGGGGGGGGGGAGGTAGGGGGGGTCACGAAACGGGGTCCAGGACAAGGGGAGGGTGTGCGGGAAGCCCATTTGGTCATTCCGCTGCTGGATGGACGCCTCCTCCCCGACTCCACCTAGCACCTTGCCCTACGCACAAGATTAATCCATCGCTCCATCTCCCGGTGGACGTCCTCTCGAATGCGATCCTCGGCTGCCACTCCGCGATGAGTCTCCGTGATCTGCCACCATCCTTTGTAGCCGTGACGCGTCAAGCGTAAGCCCCACGGACGGCTCAGCGCTCTGCATTCACCTGCGCGTGTTCTCGAATCCACGTGGTCCTTCTCTTTCTGTCTCTTCGAATGTTGAGTTTATTTCATGATCCCGTTTAGCACGTTTCAGTGAATGTTCAACATATTTTATCCATCCCTACGGAGGGAGTGAACACTGATCACACGCGTGCGTCTTTCGACACATGGGCGGTGTTCCACGATCACGCTGGTGAAGCTACACGGTAGATGTCAAACGTGTGTCCTCGGTGAAGTATCCATCCACACCTTGGGAAACGAGACATTCCATCTCCTAGGAGATTTCCCAGAGGAGATATTAAAGTAGAGCGTTCCAACTACAGCACTCCCATCTGCCTCTTTCATTATGTTCACCCCGGCCCACCTTCTCTAATTACCCACACAAAGATCCCCCGTATAGCCTTTAACAGACTGTTAGGGCAAGTGCTGTTAGCGAGCACCTATGAAGTCCGGCACGGCACACGAGGGTGTGATTGGCTAGCACACCGCCCGGCCGCCTTTGTCTTCCCAGTGGTGATGTTTACACACCGCACCAGCTACGAATATAAAATCGTCACTGATCTTGGTGGCCGCCACCACTCCCCACACACAACTCTGCTACCTCCTTGGTGTGCCGACGACACACGTGGCCACTGTTTGAGTGAACTTACCGTGCCGTGAACTTTGCGCCGCTCCACAATGAGTGTAACACCCAACTCACCGGAGCCGGCATGAGGTCATTCTGCTGCTGCTGCTGTTGGTGATGATGATGGAGCGATAGATGTGGGAATAAACGTCTGGAGTCGGGGTGAGGGGCACCCGAGATGAGTAGTGGGCACGGGGGTTCTGGGTGGTGGTAGTAGTAATAATACAGTTTATTCTAAAGCGCCTTTCAAATGAGCAGACTCAGCGCTGTACATCAGAGGTAGAAAACAACAGGGGACTTGGGGAAAGAGGGTGAGGGGGAGGGGTACCTGGGGAAACACCGGGACCCGTGAGAGTGGGGGTCGGGGAGAGAGGGGTGGGGGGGGGGTCATTGTGGACGTGGTCCCCTCGTACCGGGCGCGAGTGGCACCGCGCTGCTGCACGAGACGCAGACGATGCTGTCCCTGGCGAACTCGTGGTCCTGGCATCGCGGCCGACCCATGGCTCCAACGAGGCGCGGGGCCCCACGCGGACCCAGACGGAGGGAGGAGGGACCCCCGTCGAGGGGATCTATCCGTCGGCTCGAACCCCGGAGAGCCGAGCCTGCATCGGAAGCTCTCTCACGCGAAGGGACGAGGATGACGGAAACTCCGGCGGCGAAGTCGGCGCACAGCGCGGGTGGATCGCTTTAGTGAGCGGCGTCACGGGGCTGCTCGTCCAGGAGGGGACTGGCGCAAGGGTTGCGACACGTGCACCACGCCGCGGTGGGGCCGTGGCGTCACGGCCCAGGGTGTTGATAGTCCAAGAGAGAAACGCCCCGGACGCGAGCCTTTCCCGGAATGCCTCCAGCGCTGCTGCTGGCCGCGTCTGAGCGACGGTGTGACCGTGCGTGCGTGCGAGCGAGCGAGCGAGCACGGCCAGGGTATTCACCGAGTGAGTCAGAGACGTGGGAGGTGAATGAGGTCCAGTGTTCATGCGCGGGCGGGTGCGATGTGTCTTGTTTATGTGGTAGGCGGTTATTGCGCCGCGCTGACCGCTGCGCTGCGAATCCGGCAAAGACCCGAGCTAGATTCCCGCTCACGGTCAACACGAGTGACGATTATCTGAACCGGTCCTGGGCCTCCCCAAGATCGACCCGGCCTTAAATGAGTACCTGGTGCGGTGTGTAAATATCGTCACTTGGGAGACAAAGGCGGCCGGGCGTGATGCTGGCCACCCACCCCCTTGTGTGCCGTGTCGGCCTTCATAAGTGCTCGCTAACAACAGTTTTCCCAACGTACGGATGATCTTTGTCTTTGTAGTGTTCACGAGTGATGTGTGTTCACAGGGGCTACGTTGACCTCGCGTTAACCCCGAAAGTGCAAGACTCTCGCCTTTATTCCGTCAACAAAAATACAGTTCAGTAATTATGTACAGAATTCGCTCAACGCATCGCCACCACCTCCAGGTTCGAGGCACGGCCCACGTGTTCTGTCAACGGCGAGCTGCGGTTTCTCAGCTGACTCAACCTCTCCGATGTGCTTGCGCCGCGTCGGCAGTGTTGCTGTTCGGCAAGTTGTCCGACGTTTCGCGCAACGATATCGAGGCTGGCATATATCAACCACCGGGCAGTGGCCGTGCTGCTGCTTTGCTAGTTCCTGGGCACGGGGCTGTTCGGAAGGGTCTCCCCGCTTTCGGGGAACCTGGAACGTTGGTCCAATGGTTCCAAACGCACTCCAGCGTTGGTGCTTTCAAATACCACTTGTCCCAACAGCCTGTTCAAGGCTATACGGGAGATATGTGTCTGTATGTGTTTGATGAGGGCCAGGATCACTGTTCTCCACAGTGACAGAGTCCTAAAGAGGGGGCAGGCTGAGATCTGAACACGGGCAGCCGTGGGGGGGGGGGGGGGGGAGCGGGAGGGGAGGCAGCCTCGTCCAGTGGGTGAGACTCGCGGGGAGGACTGCCCCTGCTGCTGCCGCCAACCAGAAGCAACGATCCGCGTCCCAGTCGCTCGCCCCGACATCCACGGGGGTAGCCTGAGGAGAGGGGGCAGCTGCTGCTGCTGCCGCAATGTGGCTTCGGTTAATTCACATCCAGCGGAAACGGCTTCCGTGGCGCACCGAGGTTGGCGCGCCGGGTTTTCCCGACCGCCCGACGTCACGGAAAATCCGTGAAAGTCGCGCTTCAGAAAAACAATGAAACCCGAAGAGCGGCGGCGGCTGTGGGAGAAGAGAACCTCGACAACGACGACCCGGCATGACGCTCCCGTCAGCGCCGTCGCAGCAGCAACAATATCAGCAGAGGCGGCGCGCCGCCGGGTGTCTCAAGGGGTCAGGGCGCCGAGCCGCCGAGGTCCCCCTGGTCAGCGACCACTCGGCGAAGCTCCGAGCGCGGCGCTCACCAACGACTCGACACGACCCCCCCCCCCCCCCATCTCATTAGTTTGTTCTGCACTTGCTTTGGATAGTCCAACCCTGAGAATGAATTTATCGGCATGACCGTCACGCGGTGATTATTCCTCTCCCAGGTGGGCGGGCGGGAAGTGCTGCAATCTCCCGTGTGGACCAGAGAGCGGTGAAACTCAAACTATATTTAAACTATTTGTATTTTATCAGGGAAGGCCCACTGAGCTACGGAGCTTTTTCAGAAGAGATATGGCCACAAATGATAGCTCAACGAAGTGGCTTATCGTGTGGAAATGTATAGCAGCAAAATAAAATAGAATCCAGCAGTTCTTGACCTGGAATGCAGCATGCACCCCTTGTGTTCTCATTCGTTAAGTAAACTGTTGATAAACATAACGCTTTGATGAAACAAAGTAGTTGTATTTCAATTTAAAGCTTTCGTGACTGCAGGGATTCATCTTCTTGATTATTTCGGTAAAGTCACGTAGAAGGGAAATAATAAAACATAAAAAAATACAATTCTCACGAGGTTTCAGCCACAACGCAAGCAGCCGTCCTCTTTCCGACAGCCCTGTTCTTCACCTGACGGCTGCTTACGTTGTGGCCGAAACGTCGTGAGAATTGTTTAATTTTTTATTATTTTATTATTTCCCTTCTACGTGACTTTACCGAAAGAACCAAGAAAGTAGTTGTACTTACGTGCCCTTGCTTAATTTGTTTTCGATTTACCTTCTAAAGAAGAATCTGGCCCCGTCTCGCACCCCCAGAAAGGGCATCTCGCATCCCCAGGGGGTGCACCCCAGGTCAAGAACCACTGCTCGAAGAATGTGGAGGGGAAACCCCGCGATCACGGGGAGAACAAATTCCAAATGTATAGGCGACGAGGGTGGGGATCAAACTCATAACCTCCTGCACACCAGACGTGGGAGTCACCATATCGCCACCGCGGCACAATTGAAGAAGGGACGATCTGAACGGGAAGCGGTGATATCTGCTTCCTTGGGCCGTTCTCCAACACGGAGGCGGCTCGCGCTGCTCTCTTGAGATTTCCCAACGGGGGTTGGTCGCGCCGTGACGACGCCGACAGTGCGACTGGGGTAAGCGAGAGCGGTGTCGCGAATTCAAGATACAACGGGCGGGGGTCATCGCGCCACGTCACTTCTCGGAGGCGCGTTAAACCGCGCCACGACCATAGATCGTTTCACATTCGTGTTGGGCAACATTGGTGCATGCGACCCGTGCAGCCACTCGAGGCGATACATGCACCACGTCAACAAAACACAAACCCAGGTTGAACCGCGACACCCGAATGGTGACTCGGGGCTTCATTTCTCACCCGAGACTTTCCGGGTCCCTGCCAGAGGAGCAGCAGCACGTGACTGGTAACCAGGGCCCATAACGACAGCTCCACTGGACGCGGTGCACCAGGTGCACTAGCATATTCCGGGTCGCCGACCCAAACAGACCCCAGCTGAAGTTGATCCCCGAGTGAGTCTCGACAAGTCGATAGTTCTCTTTGTTGCACCTATGGGTCTCGAAATCTATGGACCTCCGTGCGAGTCGAAGGGAGTCCGTGTCAGTCCTTCAGTCACTTTCTACAGTTTCGTTTCTCATCAAATATATTTTTGGAGTCGCTGGTAGACAGTAGGTTACACGTGATGAGTAGGAACAGCCAAAGTAACTCGAGGTATACGAGATGTGGAATGCCAGGTAAGAAAATAGACCCGGCTGACATTTGGCACCAGTGCTGAGCGATAGAATTGTTTAGATTGGACTGTGCGCGATTCATGAAACATGCACGTGTAATACACAGTGTTTATTAAAAGTCGCGAAATTGTCATTTGCGTAATTAGAAAAAAAGAATACTACTACGCTACTCAAGACGGCGTACAGTATTTACAAGTAGCTCTGCTCTGCTGGTCCTGCGAGAAATTCTTCATGAACTTCCCAGGATACATCCCGATGTAGTTGTACGTCGGGAGGTGGCGACCTTCTTTCACAACCAAAACATTCAAGCATCGAAACCGGTTCCCTCGCCAAAAACAAAACGGTGACAGCAAGGAGGTCCCCCTCCTCCTCGGAGCCGGTGCACGGGCTCAGAGTTCATGGTAGCGACGTCGATCGCACCAGATGCAGTATCCTCCACCTGGTCTCATCGGGGAGCAAAACCATCGTGTCGCTCACTCAGAACCACTCGCGCTCAGCGCCGCTCACTCACAGGGCCGCTCATTCGTACCGCCGCTCTCTCACAGGGGTACTCAATCACAGCACCATCATTGTACTTGAGGCTTGGTCAGGCCCAGCTGTGGGGGGGTTTTATTGCACCGACTCCCCAGGGCTGCCCTGGGACTCGCTGGTGCTGTATCTGCCCTGGCTGCCCCTGGGGCTAGTAGTCGTGATTGGTGCAATTGCATTTAGATGCTGGATAACTTCCAAGTGTTGAATCTGCTATTGTTTTGGCGGTGTCACAGGTTGGTGGAGGTCACAGGGGAGGTCACACGGGATGTCACACGGGAGGTCGAGGGAGGTCGAAGGAGGTCGCGCAGGGTCACTTGAGGCCCAGTTTCTTCTTCTCTTTGTTCTTCTTGCGCACGATGTCCATGTTGCGGTCACGCCACGTGCTCTTGCGCAGCTTGATCGGCCGACTGCCCACGTACTTCCCTGCATCGACGCAGCAGAGGCAAATACAAAGATCCCCGATATAGCCTTTAACAGACTGTTAAGGCAAGTGCTGTTAGCAAGTAGCACCTATGAAGGCCGGCACGGTACACGTTGAGGTGGGTGGCCAACACCACGCTCGGCCGTCTTTGTCTTCCTCCCTGGTGCTTATGTTTACACTCTAAACCAGGTACTCATTTAAGAATAAGTAGACCGAAAGTGGGGAGGCCAAGGGCTGGTTCAGATGTTCGTCACCGATATTGGCCGTGAGTGCAAGAGACCGTGTGAGCGAGCGAGAGACCGTGGGAGCGAGCGTGTGAGAGCATGAGCCAGCGTGTGAGTGTGAACGAGTGTGCGAGCGAGCGTTTGAGTGTGAGCGTGCGAGCGTGTGAGCGAGCAGGCACCATTCATCTCCCGCATGGCGCGCACGAAGTCGTTGGGGTCTTTGAAGCTGACGAAGCCGTAGCCCTTGGTCTTGCCCGAGCGCTTGTCGCGCACCACCTTGGCACGCAGGAACGTGGGGTAGCGCGAGAATGCGCGCGCCAGTGTGTCGTCGCTCACTTCGTTACCCAGGTCTCCACAGAAGATGCGGAAATCATCTGCGAGCGGCGGAAACACGCGGGGGAGAGGGGGTGTGAGGTGGCCAAATGGCTCGGGGGGGGGGGGGGGTTTCATCATGGCCGTATCAAATACACGCATACCGCAATTCCTCGCTTAACGCGGTTTCGACGAACTACTTTCTTGAGCTGCGTGGCCAAGTGGTGGGGTATCCTCGGTTGTCTCCCCGCCATCTCACTGTTCATCGTAGTACATCGCAACTCGCCATTATTTATCACTTTACCTGGCACTTTTCAGGAACGGATCTGTGTAAAACGAGGATGTACTGTGCCTATTTTTCCCTGCCACATCTGCCAACATTGGGCCCTAATGGTTATAGGTAGTTTTGAATCTGGCTCAGAGCCAAGCAGGGCCAGGGGTGGGGCTAATCGCAAGTGGCGTCAGTTGGTACGCTGCCATCCACGCATGTCTCAATTCGTCCATTGCCTGCGACGTCAACGGCCCAGTTCGCCTACTGCAGTGGAAGAACAACCTGGCGCCTCCTCGGCCGCTGAGTTCCTGGATTAAAGTTCAACCCCCGGGTCTGGATATCTCTTCAGGGTTCATAATGGCCGTGTCAGAGACTCTGAGCCAGCACCACTGAGAACCTGGGCTCCAATCCGGGTTTGAGCCACCGATGACTAAATCTCTCAGCGTTGCCAGCAATAATGGCTCAATTTATTAACATTTATAAATTTGAGTTCGTTTTACGAACTAAAATTTCAGCTCTGAAAACGAAACTGAGGTTCGGCCTTTCAGGGCCCGGGAGGCGCGCGCGGTCGCCGGTGCCGCGCGTCTCCCACTCCCGGCAGTCATGACCATTACTCGGCTCTCCCGTTAGGCGCAGGCAATACGAAGCGGGGAAATTTGCATACAAATGGAAAGATTGGCAATCGCGGGCAGCAGCAGCTGTCGTAGCTGCTGCACAGTGGGGAGGGCATTAGGATCTGGGTCTGAGAATCCTGGTACTGGGAAAAAAAATTACCTTCAAACTTGGGGGTCGGGTTGAGAGTTTAGTTCATAACAACATGATAAAACAACATTCTAGAAGTCATTTATCCAGCTTTGTGTGTGCAACTCTCTGCATTCAATTCCTGCTCTTGGCCAACATCAGCGGTAAATATTTGAACTGGTCCCGGGCCTCCCCTAGATCGACTCGGCTTTCAAACGAGTACCTGCTGCGGTGTGTAAACATCACCATTGGGGAGACAAAGGCAGCCGGGCATGGTGCTGTACCACACCCCTGCCTCGTAGGTGCGTTGTGCCTGCCTTCACAGGGCGCTAACGGCACTTCTCCCAACGGTGCGTGTGGGGGGCTGCGCGGTGCACTTCTGTGTCTTTGTGTGAACCTACTGGGGTCCCAGTCCATGAGGCTGGCATCCTCCCAGGTGATGCCGGCCGCGGATCGCAGGATTTTCTTCACTTTCTCGGGACGGTTCTTCTTCGCCGGCTTCTCTTCAGACGACTCCGAGTTCTGCACGAGGAGGAGGAAGAGGAGAGAGAGGGCTCCACGTACGATCCGCCACCAAAACAATGCTGTGCTATTCGTCGTTAGTTTCAGTTCCTGAAGATCGTGCTCTCACAGCGCGAGCGTGGTGAGTAGGGCGAGCGTGGTCAGTGGGGCGAGTGTGGTGAGTGTGGTGAGTGTGGCGAGTGTGGCGAGTGTGGCGAGTGTGGCGAGTGTGGCTAGTGTGGTGAGCGTGGCGAGCATGGCGAGTCTGCTGCTCTCTCACCTTTCCCGCTCCTCGTTCGCTCGTCCCAGCTCTGCCGCCGCTGCCACCGCTGCCGCCGCCGCCACCGCCACCGCCGCCGCCGCCGCCACCACCGCCGCCCCCGCCACCCCCACCGCCGCCCCCCCCGCGCTCCGTGGGTGGGTGGTGGTGGTGGTGGTGGTGATGGTGCGTCTCCGCTATGGGTGGCTCGTGGGGTGCGGGGGGAGGCATGACGGGGCCAATGATGGTGGAGTCGTCCACCTTGGTGGCGGCGACACCGCTCTCCTTCTTCTCTTGCGCCGTGTGAGAGTGGCCCTCCTCCTGCGGGCGACACGGGGGCAGGAGGAAGACAGGATGGGGCCAGAGAGACACGAGAGGGTGAGTGAAGGGCCGTGTGATTTCGGCATCGCAGCAGACCATGAGCCAGGGGTCGTGTACAAACAGCGCTACCCGGACACGCACGCGCATATTCACGCATCTCGTTTGACACCATCAGGATTACACCCGGCAATCGGGATGCTACGCAGTAATCGGCGAGGGTGGTACCGGCGCTGTGGCCTTAACAGGCGCCGCGAGGTAGACCGTGGGGCCCGCCTGGATGACGGAGGGGTTGAGTTTGGGGGGTGCCTCCACTACAGCCGAGGACATCATCCCTCCCATTGGGGGGCCCTGCACGCACACACAAATACAGAGATACACAAACGTACAATCATATACATACACAGTTATATACACACACAGATACAAAGACACATATATATACACACGCAAAGATATAGATGCAGAGATGAAGAGACACAAATATATATATACACACACACAGACAAATACACGTGTATAATTGTATGATAAGTCCTCGCTTAATGCGTGTTCACACAACACGTCATCGCTATACCGAGGTTCTTCGATTCGGGAATACTTTTTGGACAACGCGGAACGTGCACCGTTATAACGCGGTTTGTGAGCGGTCGACAACGAACTGCTTTCTCGAGCTGCGCAGCTGAGCGGTACAGTGATACCATACGTGGAATGATAAAGCAGCGGCATACCCTCACTTATTTGTCCCGCCATTTTACTGCGCGTGTGCGTATATCGTATCTCACAAAACTTTAGGACATTATTTATTTATGGGGAAATTGTTTTCGCGTAACGCGGAACTTTTCAGGAATGCATCTACAACTTGTGTTATCGTTATGTGTGCAAGCTTGTTTTTTCGTATGTGTGCGTGCGCGCATTCGTCGTGCATGCGTGTCCGCATAAGCGCGTGCGCGTGTGTGCCTGCGTATTTGCCGCATTCGCGCACGTGTGTCTGTGCGCATGCGCTGCACAAATCTCTGAATCTACGTACCGGAGGTAAGCCCATGGGGCCGATGGGTGGGGGCGGCCCCATCATGCCGTGTGGCCGGGGCGGCATGGGCATGAACGGAGGCGGGCGCAGCGGAGGCCTCAATAGCGGAGGCCGTTGCGACAATGCCGTCGCGGCTGCAACACAGCAATCAGCGGTGTCACGTCTGGGCAGCGGCACGACAACACCGCGGTAAGAAGGTGGCGATGTGGCACCTTGCTATTGGGATGTACAGAGCGTCTACATTCACCGGTGACTCAAGATGCCGATTCCAGCAGAACGGCAGTACGGCACGGCATCGCGACAAGAGCGGTGACGCAGTGCGGTAATGCATCATGGTAAAGGGGCATGGTAAGAGTATTCAAGAAATTATTAACTGGTGGTAAGGCTGCTGCAGTGGCAGTGGTGCACAAGAACAAAAAACACAAAGACTTAACACGTTTGTCATCCCCGTGTTTTGGGCAATGTGTCATTAAGGCCATTGCCACATGTTAACGGGGAGAGTATGGCAACAGAGCGTGTGAACAGTGCGGTAAGAGTGCAACACAATGCAATGTGTTTTGAGAGCACGTCAAAATGCGCCTCAAGATGCACCTCAAGATGCTGCAATAACAAATTTATAAAAGGAATGTTCACGCAGTGCCCACAAGCACTGGAAGTTCAGCAACATGCAAAAACAATACAATAATGCTAAATATTATTACCACGTCAGGGGAAACGGATGCTGTGACGATTGCCATATAGTGAAATTTAAATTAGTACCGTATTGCATGGCGAAAAATCGTATCGCAGCGACCATGGTTTTGACCGGCACGTGTGCGCTTTTAACGTCCACATTACCTGGCCTGAGTAGGACATGGGGGACAAACGCAGGCCTTGGCGGGGGCCTCATGGGGGGCACAACTGCATGGAGAGAAAGTGAGGGAGGGGGGAGAACACACCGTTAACGACTGGACTGTTGGGGAATACCGGTCGTCACAGACAGAGTATGGCAAGCGGAGTGGCCACGTAGATCATGGAGAATCAAGGAATCGACGCAATGGAGAAATGCAGATGCGTACGAAATGGTCTTTCAAAATGCAGCATGGCGGTGTGATGGACCGGAACCTGTTCCACAAAGTCTCCAATCGTGCAGACAGTGGAGATGCTGGACTGATAGCTCTTTTCCAATTCACAACAAAGCCATAAGGCCGTAATGAGCCAGTACGGCGCGGTTTAGGAAGCGCCAGGTTGTTTTTCCACAGCAGAAACTGTGCCATGTCGCAATACAGTAAAACCCCTCTTAACGAGCACCCCTGTTAACTCGTCACTTAACGACAGGCCTCCAAAGAGCCCAATGTGTTTGCTTACCAACCATTCCCCTGTTACCGACGGGCTGTTATAGGTACAATAAATATTAATTTATGCATTTATTAACCATGTTTATTTTAAGATTATGTGTTTCTGTTGTTAGCATCTTCATGTATTGAAATCCATTGTTTAAATAAAACAAAGTACGTTTTTTGGGTGAGAAAGGGTAAATTTCGATCCTATCAGAACAAAAATCCGTTAACATGTATATCCTATACTCGCTTAACGACCAAATCACTTAACGGCTGGTTTTGTGGAACCAATTACCGTCGCTAAGGGCGGTTCTACTGGAAACGCCAGACATCAGCATGGACTGACGCGACCCTAGCCCTGGATTCACGGTTTGATATCGGCTCGGCTCGTCAAAGAGCCAGTGAGACAACCACCCATACCGTTAGGGAACCACACTGGGACAGCTCGAATGTGCAAGGGGAAAATGGGCAGACTACCTTCTGTGTGAACTACCCTGGACAATCGAGAGTTGACTGCAACACTGAAACAACAGCACATTGAAGCTCACCAAGTGCTATACTGCCACCTGCCGGCCACTATGAAGCAAAGCAGGTGCAAGAGTTACGGAAAATGTGATCAAAACAACACTTGCCTACATAGTACTGAACCAGTGGTGTAAATCGCTACCAAGCCTGAGTGATAAAACCCAGGGTCTGGAATTTTCCTGACACATTATACCCACTCATCTACCCACTCACTCGATCACTTACCCAACAACTCACTCACCAACTCAGATTTAACCTTGATATTAACAATTATTAATAAAATTTCGATTTAATTATGTATTTTTACTTTATTCCAATTTATCTGTGACAATGATGGATATCATATGCATTATTCATTATGATTGGCATCGGCCGGGCTAAAGGCACATCATGCCGGTGACTGCGAGGGCCACGGTGACAGTGTCAGGGACGTGTGTGGTGGCCTTACACGGTGGCAGAGGCGGCATCGGAATGGGCCCTGCTGCAGCCCGGGCTTGCAGCAAGCTCTGTTGCACCTACGGACAAACAAACAAACACGCAAAAGACAAAGATTCCCCCTCAGAGGTTTTATCTTAATTGCTCGATTGGGATTACACACAGCAGCAACATCGTCCCCTAATGTGCTGCAGACCGTGTCCGTGAAACACAGCAGCGCCTTCGTTCGTGACAGCCTTGCGCTACCAAATGTACTCAATTATGAACTATTACTATTAGTACCAGACTCGTGGGCGAAATGCTGCTAGCGAGCACCTTCAGTGCAAAAGGGGGTGGGGTGGCCGCCATTGTCATCCCGGTGCAGATGTTTACGCACCGCACCAGGGTACTAATTTAAGACCGAGTCGACCTTGGGGTGCTGCGGCACCAGTTCTGCATGACACAAACCAGAGCAAAAAGGAATATGCAAATGCCCCGACAGCTCCTCGTCAGTTTCCGTGCCGCTGTGTCTCTTCATCAAGTGAGTGAGACGGTGCTCATCTCAGGTGACTTTTAGTCGGTTGTGGAAATTACACCTTCCCATGTCAGGTGCCAGTATATCTATAGCACAACCCACAGTTGTACGCTTTAACCTTTTCCGCAATGAAAGTGATTGGTTGCAGATTCCAATTGTTCTCTGTGAGAGATTGTGAGTGTGCACGCGAGTATTACCAACATTACCAAAATTAACCACACTCAAAATTACAATGCAATTGTAATAAGGGCATCAATGTAATTTCCATTCATAACTCATGCAGCGAGCAGTGGACCACATTGTGTAAGAGAACAGCCTCGAAAGATGACGTCATAGAACTGCTTCTGAATGGACTCCCATGAGCCTCTTAGTTCGTACACACGTGGGCAGTGATTGACAACGCTAACAATCCAACGTTAGCAACGCGGGTGGGGAAGTGACCCTCAGTGGAGTGAAGCTGACAGTGGACCGAGCCTGCTCGTCTCTCACCTGCTGATACGTGTTGGAGGAGATGACTGGGCGACCTTGGGAGGTCAGCGTCCCGCCCAGCACCTCCTGCTCAAAGCTGCATGGGCACAGAGACGGGTTCACGTTCGCCAGGTGAGACCGACATTATTCTCATTGGCGAGTGGCCCGGGTCACCAGTACCACAAAGGCCAAAGAAGGAAATCAAGACGCAAATTGAAATCGGAGCAAAAACCGACCAAATCTTGTAGAAATTGTACAAAAACAACCGCATTATATCAGAAATCGAAAAGAGTGCACACGTATATGCCAACATTCAAGCAAAAACTATTTAAGAAGAAATCTAGCGAGGACGAATTACTTTTTTAAATCGCTCACGGTAAAATTGCGCTGCAGAAACATCCAAATGGAATCAGGGTAACGATTGCACTCGGCATGTAAACAGACGAGGACACGTGTCAAATGCCACTGAAAGGGAAGTTCTTAGAAAGAATTAGCAGCTTAGCATCAAATCGTGATTTCCATGTGAGAGCTTCATGAACATTCAGCCACGTACGAAGACGCTCACAGATCCCCCTCACATTCTTACAGGTGTGGCCAGCAACAGGCCCAGCCGCCTTTGTCTCCCCAGTGCTGATGTTAAATACGGCACCAGGTACTTATTTAATGCTCAATACACAGGGGAGGCCAATGACCGGTTCAGATATTCGTCACTGGTGTTTGCCTTGAGCAGGAATTGGCCTCAAAGACAAAGATCCTCCGTGCAGCGTGAACAGACTGTGGGGGCAAGTCCTGAGCACCTCTGAAGGCCGGCACTGTGGCACACGAGGGGGTGGGTGGGCAGCACAGCAGCATGCTAACCGCTCCCCACCCTCTCATTCTCACTCACTCACACAGCCTCTCACTCACTCACGCAGCCTCTCACTCACTCACGCAGCCTCTCACTCACTCACGCAGCCTCTCACTCACTCACACAGCCTCTCACTCCACGGGACAGCCGAGGAGACGAGGGGACACGGGAAATACTGGAGACAGGGGGGACACGGGAGAAACACGGGGGGCGGGAGGGGGACACGGGGGCAGGGGGGACACGGGAGGGACACGGGAGACACGGGAGAGACACGGGAGGGGACACGGGAGGGGACACGGGAGACACGGGAGGGGACACGGGAGGGGACACGGGAGGGGACACGGGAGGGGACACGGGAGGGGACACGGGAGGGGACACGGGAGAGACACGGGAGACACGGGAGAGACACGGGAGAGACACGGGAGAGACACGGGAGAGACACGGGAGAGACACGGGAGACACGGGAGGGGACACGGGAGGGGCACGGGAGAGACACGGGAGACACGGGAGGGACACGGGAGAGACACGGGAGAGACACGGGAGGGGGCAGGGTGGACACTCACAGCGCCATCTCCGCCTCCATCTCCCGCAGCTTCAGGTCCTCCATGGGGTCCACCATTTTGCCTCGTGACGTCAGCGTCGCGCGCACTGACGTCACGATGGTGATGGCGTCATCGTTACACACGCGGCGCTACATGACGATTACCGCGCGATGACGTCATCCGGGTCGCGGCGTGTTGAAAATCGCCGCTGGTGTGGGGGGGGGTGTTGTAGTTGGCACGGTGGGGGGCTCAGGTGGGGGGCTCAGGTGGCGCACCGGCCACTCAGTCGGTCGGTCGGTCTGTGGCACCTGCTGGGTCTGACCCGTCACCTCCTGCCAGCGGGCGTTCGACACTTCACGTGGCCTCAACGTGCACCTAGCCTGGCACAAGCGCCACTTAGTGGCGAATGGGGGTTGTTGGTGAGCGCGCTGTGCTACGAACCCGGGTCGCCGGGTTCGATTCCCGCTCACGGCCTGATTCGGACCTGAGCCTCCCAGAATCAGAACTTGTATTTAGACTCCCCTAGGTCGACTCGGCCTCAATTGAGCACTGTACCTGGTGCGGTGTGTCAACGTCGCCACTTAGGGAGACAAAGGCGGCCGGGCGTGGCGCTGTGTCGACCCGACCTTCACAGGAGCTCGCTAACAGCCCCAACAGTTTCGATTTAAAACTTTCGTGACTGCAGGGATTCATCTTCTTGGTTCTTTCGGTAAAGTCACGTAGAATGGAAATAATAAAATAAACATAATAAAATAATTCTCACGACGTTTCGGCCACAACGCAAGCAGCCGTCCTCAGGTGGAGAACAGGTCTGTCGACGGCTGCTTGCGTTGTGGCCGAAACGTCGTGAGAATTATTTTATTTTTTATTATTTCCATTTTCCGTGACTTTACCGAAAGAACCAAGAAGATGAGCCCCGCCAGTCCGCCAAGGCGACCACGTCCCCCGGGGGGGGTCTTTGTGTTTGTGCTGCTGCACGATGGGCGACTCGGCACCTCCGACAACAACGCCACAGGGCGACGTGGTTGGCGTGGCGATGTGCGGCTCCAAACAAGTTCAACAACACGTTCATGTCGTACTCTTAGGTCTTTTCGGTAAAGTCACGTAGGTAAAAAAAAATAAGAATAAAATAAAACACTAATAAAGGAAAATGAGAACTGACTGCGGGAAACGCGCAAAAACTTCAACGACGTGGTTGGTTTTGTCCACATTTGTGTTTGCTACTTTGCTTATTTTATATTGATTTGGTCATTTTGATGACCCATCGGTCTCGTGAGTTCTCAGCTGGTTAAATAAAATAAACTTGACACTTTAATTCTGGACATTTCGTAAATATACATCGCGATTTCACGACATTGTGTAAATCTGGCGATACGATCCTCGTGCAGCTCATATCGTGAGAGATATCGTGTTATATCGTGAGATATCGTGTTATATCGTGAGAGATATCGTGATATATCGTGAGAGATATCGTGTTATATCGTGAGATATCGTGTCATATCGTGAGAGATATCGTGTTATATCGTGAGAGATATCGTGTTATATCGTGAGAGATATCGTGTTATATCGTGAGAGATATCGTGTTATATCGTGAGATATCGTGTCATATCGTGAGAGATATCGTGTTATATCGTGAGAGATATCGTGATATATCGTGAGAGATATCGTGTTATATCGTGAGATATCGTGTTATATCGTGAGAGATATCGTGTTATATCGTGAGAGATATCGTGTTATATCGTGAGAGATATCGTGTCATATCGTGAGAGATATCGTGTCATATCGTGAGAAATATCGTGATATATCGTGAGAGATATCGTGTTATATCGTGAGATATCGTGTCATATCGTGAGAGATATCGTGTTATATCGTGAGAGATATTGTGTTATATCGTGAGAGATATCGTGAGAGATATCGTGTTATATCGTGATATATCGTGAGAGATATCGTGTCATATCGTGAGAGATATCGTGTTATATCGTGAGAGATATCGTGTCATATCGTGAGTGATATCGTGTTATATCGTGAGAGATATCGTGACATATCGTGAGTGATATCGTGATATATCGCCATTTCACGGGGACCCATCAATGGGGATTGAATAGTGACGTCATACATTTAGGAATGATGTCACGGCACCACTTCACAAACTCGAAACGTTAGGATTACGTCATCCCGATAAAGATTTGCATACGACTGACGTCACGAGAAGAGACACGTGACGCAACCGTTAAGGGCTGAAATTTACGCGGGAAACGCGGAGCGGGCAGCTGAGGGACAGAGACGCGGAGCGGGCAGCGGGCAGCGGGCAGCGGAGACGGCCGAGGGGGGCTGAGGGGGGCTGAGGGGGGCTGAGGAGGGCTAAGGGGGGCCGGGAGGGAGCGGCGAGCAGGCGGGAACGGGCTCCGTCTCTTCACTGGTCGTGGACAAAGCGCGAGTCTCCGTCTGCACCGCTGCTGCTGTGTCCACACCACGGGGACAGGAGTGAGACTCGGCTTTGGTCGACGCGTCTCCCCCATACTCGGTCCGTGCTGCGTCTCAGCAGCTGCCGCTGTGGTGCAGTGCCCCCCACTCGCTGTGGTGCCGTGCCCCCCACTCGCTGTCTCCCATCACGCAGCGCCGTCTCGCGTCTTCGCGACCGCTCGCGGCGTCTCCGCGGAGAGACAACTCGGCGGCGGCTCTGGCTGGAGTCCGAAGGAGCATCGAGTCTGCGAGTCTGCTCAGGGTTGGGTTGCTGCTCGTGTCTCTCTGCCCCTGTGTTTATTGTTGGTGTTTGCGCTGTTTGTTTATTGTGGGGTTTGTTGTGTTGGCATCGTTGTTTATGTTTTGTGGTTTTACGTGTGTTTGTGTCTTTTGGTGTTAGTGGGTGTGTCTGTTTTAATCTTATGATCAGAGTGATGCTAGTTTTGTTGTGTGTCTGCATGTGATGGTATTTGTATGTTATTTCTAGATTTGAAGCTTTCGTAACTGCAATGATTCATACTCTTAGTTCTTTCGGTAAAGTCACGTAGGTAAAATATGAAATTAAAATTAATAAAATAAAAATCACGACGTTGTGTATTTGTATGTTATGTTGGTGATGGTGTTTCGTGATGGGACAGTAGTGGAGAGAGAGTGGAGAGTTTACCATTATACCTGGGCAGTGTGGTCATGACCGGCCCAAGTTTAACAGCAGAGGTCTCACTCCGAATCAGTCGAGCGGCAATATCTTTTCATCGGTTGCGTAACGCTGTGTGGAAGCTGCCTGGTCTGTCGCTCCGCACGAAGCTTCGGGTCTTCTCGGCCACAGTCATTCCCTCTCTTATCTATACTTGCGAAACGTGGACCCCCCCTAATGGAGCATCTTCGCCGGTTGGAAACATTTAGGCTGGCCTGCCTACGATCCATCCTGAGTTTAACCAGCAGGCTGGATTGTGTGAGGAGCTCACAAATCCTTGAAAGATCTGGACAAAGTCCCATCGGTGAGCTCCTCCGGCAGGCAAGGCTGCGTTGGCTGGGTCATGTAGCCCGCATGCCCAGCCACCGCATGCCCAAACAGCTTTTGTTCGGCCGGATCGAGGGAGCTAAACGGGCGCGGCACGGGCTAGAGAAGAGATGGAGTGATGTGGTACAGGAGGACGTGGAGCTGAGTGGACTTGCCGATGACTGGTACCAGCGGTGTCAAGATCGGCCTCTGTGGAGGCGGCTCGTGAAGGACGCTACTGGGCAGTTGAAGGCAGTCGCCCTCCAGCAACAACGGAGGGGAGAGGAGCGATGCTCACAACAACGAGCGGAGCACCGGGTGGCTAAAGCACAGCAAGTTGGCACAGAAGGGGGCACAGGTGGTGTATCAGCCAGTCATCTCAGTCAACCCATGGAACCTGGGTCTGCCCTGTGACCTGCCAGCGGGCATTTGACACTTCACGTTGCCTTAACGTGATGGTGTTATGTTGGTGATGGTGTCTGTGTGTAATTTTGGTGATCGTGTCTGTGTGTAATGTTGGTGTAGGAGGCATGGCGATAGCATTTGTGGAGGGATGGGACCTGGTGCAGACACTCGGGGAAGGAGCTTATGGAGAGTACGTTATCACTATCAACATCATTTACCATCATCAACAGCACCATCATCAGCTTCATGAGTATAGTGAACATCGTCAAAATAATCACCTTCATCACCATAACCACCATCAATGTCACCACCATCAATATCATCACTAACACCACCATGGTTGTCACCGTCATCACAATCGTGAACATATTGCCATCGTCAACACCATCACTAACACCTTAATCACCATTATAATCCTCAACATCATCGTCACCATTGACATTATCACCATAATCACTAACGCTGTAATCACCATCATCTCCATTATTGTCACCGTAATCACAATCATCAACATGATCATCACCATCATCCTCACAATCATCACCATTGGCATGAACCATAACCATCATCACCATGACCATCATCATCTTTATATTCATCATTGTTGTGTTTGTTTCTGTGCTTATGCTTTACTAGTTATCCATAATACTGTACCGGGCCGTTGTCTTTGCTGCTGTTGCTGAACCCACGCTCGTGTACATGCACGTGCGTCCATTACGTGTTTGCACGTGCATACACAGGGTGCGCCTGGCCGTGAATCGCGCCACAAAGGAGGCGGTGGCGGTGAAGATCATCGACGTCCGGCGCGTGGCGGCGACCGCGGGGCCCGAGACGGTGCGCAAGGAGATCTGCATCAACAGCATGCTGACCCACAGCAACGTGGTGCGCTTCTTCGGCACGCGGCGGGACGGCGACATCCACTACATTTTCCTCGAGTACTGCAGCGGCGGGGAGCTCTTTGATCGCATCGGTGAGAGGTGGGGGGGGGTGCGGCCGATGCGGTGCCGATGATGCTGATGTTATCGGAGGGGTAATATCGCTGCGACCAACCGTGATTGTTACTCTCAATGACCAACAACCGCCGTCGGCAATACCGCCAACACAAACGTTACCACCACCATCATCACCATCAGTATTACCACCACTGTTACTGTCACAACCGGCACCAACACCAACATTACCTCCACCATCACCGCCAAACCGCTGTCACCACCACCAATGCCCAGCTCTAGAAGTGTCTTCGTGGAGACGTTCACCG